AGAAATGGGTTTTCTGTTAGTTCTCCAACTCTCCCAGGTTTTTCTTTAAGTGAAAAAGAAAACTATAACAACTAAGAAATTTGAAAAGAACTGATTCATCTTCAATATGGCTGGCTCAGTAGATTGTTGCATTTCCCAACTCCAAGCTTCTTGGTACTTTTACTTAAAATTCAGTGCAGATCATGCAACACTAATATTTGCACTACAGTAGTTTCCAGAAGGCCTCCTCATGTTCATGGCCCTAACGTACAGGCACACAACAGGAGAAGGTCCCAAACTAAATAGACAAGACGTATGGTGGATAAAGAGAACTTAATTTCCATTTTTACAGGTAGAGAACAGAAACTCAGAGAAATTCAGGGATTCACAGTGCCTATGGCAGAACCAGTTCTTAAACCCAGGACTTTCAAATCCCAGTCCAATGGTAAAACATAATAGTAAGCCTTCTTTTTCCTTTGAAGACTATAAAGAGAAGAGAGGTGGTGAGAGAACAGTTGTTTTTCAGACTCATGGAAGTTTGAGATTTCAGACATTTTCCCATTTCCTTGGGCCGAATACTTTCCACCGTTTTTCATGAAAAAATTGAATGCATGATATCCTCCTTGTAGCCCAAGGAATGCAATTCTTTTTACAAAATGGAATTGCTTCAGCAGGCACAGCTGGGAAAAACCCACCCCAGACCCAACCCCTGGCTGCTTCTTGTCTATCACACCAAACAAACTACTTGCTTTCACTTCCAAAGCCCATTTATGCCTATCCGCACCCTTCTTATGATCTCTCACTCAGGACTGAGCCTTTGCCCACCTTCTCCGGCTCCCCCTTGTTGTCTTCATGGGTTTTTTTTCATGCTGTCCCTTGTTTGCCCCTTATAAACATCTGCCAAGCTATCTCCTTAGTCTACCTCAAATCCCACCTTAAAACTCTCCTGTGACAGGTTCATGTCCGGAAAGCTGCTGCTGAGAGGTGCATCTTTTTTTTTTTTTTTTTTTTTCACCTGGTAGCAGGGCACTTTCCTCCTCTTGCCTACCACAACTTGCTGTTCCTATAAGCTGAGTATTTCATTATGGGGAGGTGGTACCTGTGGTCGCTTGGTGGACTTAGTGCAGTCAGGTCTGTGTTGTGCTTCTGTGGGTTTCTTCCTCCCGTATACCCCACCCCTTTCCACTCGGGTGTTGTTGTCAGATCTTGATGATGAGTCAAATTTCTACTTGGTTTGCTCCCTTCCTGGTGCTGCATGAGGATTGGACTCATGTGGGGAAGTACCTGTGCCTCTTCTTTAAAGGACTAGAAGGAAACTCAAAAGCACTAAACTCAAATCACTCGGGCTCATTGGCCAGGCAGGGCACCAATGCCTTGGTGTGGGCTGAGCCCCCTTACTAGGGTAATAGACTTAGTCCAACATGTCTTGGGGCACCACTTCTGATTGCCCTTGTCTGGACTCCCTGACTACTTATAGGTTGCTCTGGGTCCTCAGGCTCCCTTTGCCTGTGTCCCCCACACAGTGCAGCACTGCTTGGCCTGGCCCAAGATAGCTCTGTGCTGGTTCCAATATGCCTATATATTTATGACAGACCATGAAGCCCACATCCTCTGCAGCTGACCTTTCATTCCCCTGGTATACCTCAGGTACATTAGTAACATCTTCATCATATATTTGCACTGGGGGACTTAGTTCTGGTTTATGTCCCATACTACTTCTCCTATGCTAATACTTAATTAAGTATTGTATTGGGAAGTATTAAGGCCTACTAAAATGCTACACTATAAGCAACTAAACCTAATTCCGGGAATGCCTGGTTGTCAAAGTCGGCGTACACCTGGTGGAAGGGGGTGCTATCTCCAAAGAAAACTATACCTCCACTGCTCGGGCCTGTAGGGGGGCTGTTAGGAAAGCTAAGGCGGACATAGAGCTAGGACTGACGTCCAAGATCAAAGATAATAAAAAGTCCTTTTTCAAATATATAGGGAGGATGAAGAAGGCACCAGGAAATGTGGGGCCCCTGCAAGATGCGCTGGGCAATCTGGTGGTTGCGCCAGAGGAGAAGGCAGACCTCTTTAACAAATTCTTCACTTCCATTTTCTTGTGCAGGGACCGGGACTCCACCACCGTGTTTCAAGACGGACTCGAGGGGAACGTCTCAAGACCTAAGGTTGAGGAGGACTGGGTTAGAGTGCTTCTGGAGGGGCTGGACATATTCAAGTCAGCAGGTCCAGATGCTCTCCACCCCAGGGTGTTGAGGGAGCTAGCAGGGGTTATTGCTGGGCCCTTGGCATGGCTTTATGAGCGCTCGTGGTGCTCAGGCCAGGTGCCAGATGATTGGAAGATAGCCAATGTGGTCCCCATCTTTAAGAAAGGGAGGAGGGAGGACCCGGGCAACTATAGGCCCGTCAGTCTTACCTCAATCCTGGGGAAACTCTTTGAGAAGATCATCAAGGAGCACATCTGTGATGGGCCGGCATC